AACAAAAGATGTGCAAAAGGATACCCGGTTACTGACATAAGTGTTAATATAGGAAACAACGCAGAAAATAGTCTTTAGATAATAATAAAAAATTACCTATGAAATTTAAAAATCGTTCGACCGAGCTTGGTACGGTTAGTGTTAAGGATCAATTATACCATCTCCTAACTCACCTGCTACCTTCTTCTTGTACTCCTCAGGTTTATGTAGATACATGGCCGCCGCATCGCCATTTAAGGGGTCGATTGGATTAGGATATGTTAACAATTGGGGCAGGAAAGATTCGAAAATATTCGATAAATCTGAAACAAACGAGATAGAAAGAATTCTTCTCAAAATTCTCAACTGACGTGAAGTTTAGCGATTTTTGTTAATTATTTCGATAAATATAGAGAACACAGGGGTGGATAATTAAATTTTGTCTAGATTATGTAAATACGTACCGTAAAGGGCAGTCCAGGCCTGGTTTATTACGTCTAGACACACCGTGCCTGAGACTTCGTCAATGTTAGGGTGGTACACCTTGTTCATAAAGCCGATCGAAGGAGATTTGAAGGGGTAGTGCTCGGGCAAGTGAACCCTCACCTTCCATATTCCACCCTCGTAAGGCGCTGTAACGTAATACAAGTATACAACATTTTGTAACGATCTTATGAAGAATGCTCGTTTTCTACGGCAAAATACGTCATCGAAATCTACGACTTAAGTTTAAAGAACGTATGTTAACCCTTTCGTTGCTGTTCAACGCCTGATAATTTGCTCGCGATATACCGTTGGAGCCTTTTGGTGCACATTCATCTTAATTTAATCAATTCAATTTCGAAACGACACGGTTGAAACAAGAAATTTTGCAGTTTTGCTTAAACAATTTACCACACATGTGTATTAACCCCTTGCACTCGAGTGGCGACTGAGAAGCGACGTTGTTTACTGCTTGGTAAAAAATTGATTTTACAGGACCACAGGTCCATAGACCTCGCATAATTGTCTAAGCAGCGAGTAGATTTCAAAGAAGCAACCTTTAACGAACTGTCGCAAGGCCTTGAATAATATAAAAATACATTGAACATAGAAATAAATTTGATCTGCAATTTGCTTGCAGCAAAATGATCTTCGAGTGCAAAGGGTTAAAATCTGGCGCAGCGGAAGGGTTAAACTCCTGTGCAACTTAACACATTACCGACCGAGTGAATTTCTGTCGAGTAGATGTCTAAGATTGCTAAAAAGATTTTTTTTAAATTGACGAGGATTCTTGTGTTAGAAAAATTAATAATGTGAAATTGCACGATGGTCCGTTACATTTAACCCTTTCGCTACGACACTCGTGAGACAAAATGTACTCGCTGTATACTAGACGAAACATTTTCAAATTCAACTGTTTCGTGATAGTCAAATGAGCCACTCAGAAGCCAAAGATACTAACTCCACTACGTTAAACTTGTTAAATTATTTTTATTTATAAAGAGTTGCGCGCCAAGCATGAGCTTTGATACTAAAATTGGAAGAGTTTCAGAAAGTGGAGTTAATCGTTTGGAATTCTGAGTGACTCAAATGTCTGTTTTAGTGTTGCCTGACTTTTAGATGACAGTGATATTTTATTTGCAAAGTACGAAAATAAATGAATAAATTTACAGCGAGTATACAAGGTGTCCCACTTAATTCTGTCATTCTTAACTATTTTGTTATTTGTGAAGATACAAAAAAATGCTTCCGAAGGAAGTTATTGTATCTCAGGGTGGAAAATTAGAGCACCTCAAGGACCCATCTTCCAAAATTTTACTAAAAATAAAATTTGGTTAAATGGAACGACCCGTTTTTAAGTTTGAAGCGCATTTAACCATCGTCACAAAATACACTCTTCGTAGCGAAAGGGTTAACGATATTATGCGACAAAATTTCTTAGAACATTACACGACAATGCATCAAGTTAAACTTTTTCTAAGTTTAAATTCTTAGAATCTTAAATGTAAGTTAAGAAAACACACTTTGCAATATTTACAAGTTTAGCGAAAGAAAAAGCTCAATAAAGAGTAAATACATTTCAATGGTACGAAGAAAGGGGGTCACAGGATACTCGTCGAATAGTGGTATAATTTCAAGTAGCAATTTCCACCTCGATCGTCGAAATTGCGGGTACAGTTATCGGCGATATTCGAACAGCTGAAAAGTCAGGTGCGATATCGTAACTCGAGAGTATAGATGAAGGAAACTGGAACGTTGGAACGGTAAATCACGCCGGAATGCGTAATTCTTTCTCGTTACAAGGTAAAAGTACAGGAGACGGAAGGTCGATTGAATTTGTCCATCGGGTGAATCCATGAAAGAGTCACCGATCGAGGGAAACGAAGTGTTTCTAGAACGTAATTCACTCGGGGCGCTCTCCTTTCACGGAAGAAGAAGAAGAAGAAGAAGAAGAAGAAGCTTCTCGCATGTCAAACAATGCAAATTCCTACGTCTCTGACATCCTTTTGATCCGTGGAAATTGCTCGAGACACCGAAAGGCTCGTCTTATCTCACCACCGCGCGGTGTGTCTTCGACGGAAGAAAAGTTGATGAAATTGAAATTCCCACTTCTCGAACGAACTCCCTCGAGTGACTTTTTTACTAACAACCAAGTGTAGTACATATCTTGAACACGTTTTTACTGAAATTTTCCCTAAGAAGTTCTCATTTTTAATACGTCGGAATTCACGTGGTAAACACATGGCTCGTTGTTTACGATGTATGTGTATATGCGTTTAAATAAAACGCGGGACCACGAGGGAGAGAGAATGGCAGTGGATCGAAGAAGAAGGAGAACGGAGGAAACAAAGAGGACTGCTCGCCGAGTGAAATTTATTTCGACAACAACGAACAACGAGACATTCGACCGCGGATTAAAATCAACCACTGGAAACGTTCGAAACGAGTCGTCAGAGAGAGAGAGAGAGAGAGAGAGAGAGAGAGAGAGAAATGGGGGGTAGAGATGGAAAAAGAGAAGAAGGAGAGCCACGCGGAACGAAATGTATTTCATCCAGAGAGCCCAGGGACTCCGGTGGCTACCAATTAGTCGACGCGTACAAACATCTGAGACAAACGAGGGGGAAACTTTAGGAAGCCCGGTATCGAATTAATCGTCGAATCACAATTGAATCGTTGTCAAGCGAGGGAAGGAAATAATGGGAAAAGAAACGAGGATACAAAGGTTTTCGCGCGCAAGGTTCACGTATCCGGTAGAAATATCAATCGTTGGTATTGTACCGAGTGATCGGTAATTGGGGGTGCAACTATGAAGGGTTGAAATGTGGAATACAATTTTTTAACGAAAAGCTTAGTTTTCGAGAAAATTGAATTTTTACAGTAGAGCGGTCTTCGGGTCTTTTTTGACCCATCGCCTTCTTATCTTTTTAATTACTTTTGCTGTTATCAAATTTATGTTCCCTTAACGTTACATCGAAAGATCATTACCTAAGTTCATATGACGTGCTGGTAACATAAATTGTTACACCTCAGACCTTTGGGTCAAAAAAGACCCAAAAACCTCAAGTGTACAGTCGAACGAAAGAACGCGCTAGGGTTAAAGACGTTTCCACTTACATTTTTATGGTGATGAAGATAATGTCATAGAATAGGTGAAATATAGAATCAAATTTTTTCATAAAAAGCTTATTGCTAGTTTTCGAGAAAATTTAATTTAAACATGTTATTTTCGCTTACATTTTTTTGTAACGTTAAAGAAGAATAATATCACAGAATAGGTGAAACATAGAATGAAATTTTGTCATAAAAAGCTTAGTTTTGCGAGAAAACTGAATTCGAAGATGTTCTCGCTTACGTTTTTACGACGATAAACAGCGGTAATGTCACAATTCGCAAAGAACGCAATAGTCTACGCAGAGGATTGTGTAAATCTTCAGGTTTTCGAGCAATTAAAGCGACAAAGTACCGTATCATCGAACCACGATACTCTGACATAAAGAACAAGAATTTGTATGCGTTAACAAAGCACGTCAACTTTAACAATTTAAATTCAAATTAAGGAAATCGCCAATAACTGTGTTATCAGTACTTATCATGACACAGACATCGCTTATTAGTGCAAGCATAAGGCCGAGAGATAGTTAATTGCAATTTCCTCGAAGACTAAGCTTCTTATGACAAAGTCTTATTCTACGTTTTTCGTTTATTTTTTCACGTAGAATCACCTACTCCGTGGTTTCGCCGATAATTATGGAACGCCCTGTATATTGGAAGATCCTCAAGACTCCGTGAGTATTTAAATTCAACTTTCTCCAAAGCTAAGCTTCTTAAGAAAAAATTTTATTTTATATTTTCGATTTACTTTTTCACGAAGCATCACCTACTTCGCAGTTTCACCGCTAATTATGAGACACCCTGTATATTTAAAGAACCTCAAGGCTCGAATGTTTAAATTCAATTTTCTCCAAAACTAAGCTTCTTAAGGAAAAATATTATTCTACATTTTCCATTTATTTTTTCACGTAGAATCGTAGTTTCACCAATAACTATAAAACACCCTGTACAACGAACGAGCCTACAGACATTTCGCCGCGCGTTTCCGCGCTTATGCCACGCGGTCGGTCAGTTAATTAATAATTGGCAATCACAGATCTTCGAAATTGATACGGTATCATTGTCAAAACAGAGAAATCGCAGTTTCCATCGTATCATAATCGCATGGAAGCCGGATAAGCTGACGGGCATCGATGA